AACATACATAATAGGTGTTAAAACAAAATTTTACCTTCACTTGCACATGGCAGGCTTCCTCAGACTAAAAGGTCTGAAGAAGCTAAAAGAATAAACACAGACAATGAGGAGCAAGCAATCCAATCATAAGGCCTTCAAAAAGGCAATTTGCAAACTGTAAATTCACTAGGGGCCAGTGTGAATCCTATAATTAAAAAATAACATAATCTCAGGCCCTTTAAGACAAGCAGAGCTTCTGCTTAAAGGAAGAGAACTGTCTTCTAGTTGGACCCCATGTGGAGCATCACATTCAGATGTGATATCTTATATAAAGATTAACATGAAAAAACCATCCATGTGAGGACAATCCAGGAGAGTGAAGAGTCTGAAAACCATGCCACATGAGAAGACACCCAAGTGTGTATGTTAGGTGTATAGACAGAATACATTTTTTTCTATAAAGCTCTATAAGGCTGTACTGGGAACAGGAGATAAAAGATACAAAGAGCTGATTTTGCTCAATGCAAGGAAAAGCTGTCCATGAACGAAGGGTGCAGCCTTGCTGAAGTAGTGAGCTTTTTGTCACTGAGAGTGTTCAAGAAGGACCTGGAATGTCATCTTCCAGAGGTGTCATGGAATGAGTTCCTGCATTAAAGGGGGTTGGGACTTTCTAAATGACCCCTAAGGTCACTTCTATCTCTAGGATTTTCCATTAATAAATGATAATCTAGTCCTTCTGCAAGCTCAGACAATGCAAACTCCCAAAGAACATGCCACAAAAACTGCAGACTAATTTGTCTTAGGTGTTAGTTGTGTTCTTTTTCCATATAATTTTGTTAGATTGTTCATATGTAGTAAAAATAAATTAAGTAGACACAAATAAGTAAAAGTTTATGTTTTGAAAGCAACTAAAATTTTTTTCTATTTTGAGATTATCAACTTAATAAGTATTTTGCTAGATAAGAAAGATTTCTCTAACCACAACGTTTTATTTGCTAAATTAGAGGAAAAAAAGATAATCTTAGGGGATAGAAACATGTCAAATTTAGAAAATGCATATTTTTATTATGTCTGTGCTGTGAATCACCTACAGACAAGGAGCATTTTTACAATACATTCACCCTTTTCTCAGGAAATTCCAGGTATTGAATTTTATTGAAGCAATTATAGTAGCAATTGCTATAAAACGCTGTGTTATTGGCATTTACTATAAAACTATTTTTTACATATTAAACAAAATAATCATAAATAGGAAGTTAACTGAACGTAAGTGCAAGGACTAAAGAACAAGTCTAGTTCACTAACATTCATTGTCTTTTATATTGAGAAAGGTAACATTCTAAGGAAAACGTCTCACAGTGTCTGTCTTGCTAGAATTCACTGTTATACTTCACTGGTTAATTCTTACCTAATTGCCTTCCTCCTTGCCACACTATTATTATCAAAACTCACTGCTGGAAAAGAAAAGATAAAAGGATCACTAGTGCTAATTTTGTTCTATTTCAGTGTGCCCTTAGCATCTAACAAGGCATTAACCCTATAACGTGAGTCTGAAGGAACCATAGCATCTAACAAGGCATTAACCCTATAACATGAGCCTGAAGGAACCATTTGCTGTTTTAAAACAGTGAATACCTAAACACCATAAAACCACTTAGATGTGATTGCCCTTTCAGCTTTATTAATTTAGGCAAAATGACAGAGTAATTTATATTGTTTGCACCGATCAAGGGCAGAGTCTTTACTAAGGCAGTTTACACTGGCCAGGAGATCCTCCCTCAGGCTAAGGTTGAACGTCAACCTACTGTTGAACAGAGTGCAAAGCAAACACATGTCACCAAGTACTCAATTTCTATCAAGACAATCCCTTCAGAAATCCACATGGATAGCACACAACCCTACAAGTGCTCAAATCTAAAGCTGAAAAAATATATCTACCCAATAAAGACTATTTGGTCATCAATCAATCCAGAGACTAAAGCATTATTTTCCTGAATCTTTTGTATTTAAGATACCCCACTTTTCTAGTATGACATTATAGCAAAATTTTTTAAATGCTATATAAAATGCTATTTCTCTTAATATTGCCACAAATACTATAGTCTTTATCATAAAGAAATCTTGAAAATGTTGGGACATTTCAACTGTCATTCAAGTTCTAAACACACAGAAAGAAAACAAACATGGACTTTAAACCCACAAGGAAAAAGATAAAATAGTCTTTCTGTTCAATGTTTGCAGTAAGTAAAATATTCTCTATTGTAGCTTTCATTAGCATAGCAGTACTGCCCTATCTGTAGCATCAATGGAAGAGCTACAGTGAAGCAGCACATACACTGGGTTTAGAAAGAGATGGTAAAGAGCCTTTAGATTTTTCCCACACATGCTCAATCAATCACTGTAACACATTTTTACTACAACCTAAAATACTTTATATTGAAATTTCCATCTTTGACAAAGTACCCAAGTCTTCAATGAAAACCACATCATGTATATTTGACAAAGCACAGTAAATAATGATAAAACATTACAAACCAATACTGATGCTACACAAGCATACAAAGGAAAAGATCTTATATCACCTGTAAAGAATTCTATATTCAAAGTAACACTTTAAATACTTATACATGATTTTACAGGTAAGTTTCCTATATATCACAATTTATTGAGGAGTCAGAATTTACCTAATCCATTTCAATGCAGAGTTTAGACCCAAAAGACACAAATAACCATTTAAACCTATGTGTGCCAGCCAAACAATTGTGAGACCAAATATAATGTTACTTGACCCAGTAATCTAATTTAGTCTGTATTGTTTTTAAAGTGAAATTATGCTATACTTAAGTAACATTTTGTGTGTAAATGTGTTCAGGAATATAGAGAAGTACTGATGAGAAAAACATGTTAAACATGATGTTTTTATTTTTGGCCAAATGAGGCAATGAACTGTGATCTAAAACGATCAAAAACTAAACAATATATTTTAAAACCTGATTTAAACTCCCCAAGCTAGTCTTGCTACATTTCACATATATTTCTATCTGTGCATACTTATTTGCTATTAATTATTAATATAAATATAAATAAAAATAAGTTAAGACCAATTCAATAATTTAGAGTGTTATAATCTAAAAATAGTCTGTTACAATGTCAAAACACTCTAGCCTATTACAAGCTCTTCAAATATATTTTTCCGTTCTACCTACGTGTACAACCAACAACCAAGAGTCAACATGCAAGATCTATGATATCTTGTAGGTTCTGTCTCGTAAAATCGATTCGCTCGTATCATCAGGTCAAAGAGGTAAGTACTTAAAAGGAAGAAAGTGATTAATTTAAAATGTTGTGTTGAGTTGTATCTGAGTTTGTGGCTAGTATAAATTAATAAAATATGGGCATTTATTTCACCATCTGTAAAAATTGACAAATCGGCTGCAATAAGGGTTGCAATTTGGATTTTTTAGACAATAAAATATAGTAGGCATATGAGAAACATTAATAGCTGTTATTAATTGTAACCTAGTGATTTTTGTTTTGGTTTGTTTTTATAATAAAGTTGCTTTTGGTAAATCTTTAGTCTTTCCTTGCCAGCTAAGATGCATAAAGTCAGGAAGCATCCTATCTTCTCAAATTATTTGAAAGAGCTCCATTAACTTGTCACCTCCATTAACTTGTCACTTCCATTAATTTGTGCTTCTGACAAACACAGCTTTTGAAAAACAAATGTAGCTGATTTCTTTTTACAAACTAGCCTTTTTTTTTTTTTTTTTTTTTACTTCATAGAAAATAAAAGTTTAACACCCAAAGAGATAAAAATAACCTGGAGCATAAATGAAAAGAAACATTAAAAAAAAAGTCTGAAAATAAAATGATGACAGGATTTAACTCTGAAATAGCCTAATTTTTCAGCACTTTCCAGAGAATTGCTTCTTTTGGACTGAGAGCATAACCACAGTTCCTCAGCATCCGAAAGCCTTTCAAAAAGCGAGATAGATATCATTGTGCACCTCAACCTCACATAAAACAAAAACTAAGTTAAAAAATGGTAACTCACCCCAGTTCTAAATACATAATTAACCTAAGCAGGAGAAATTTTCCACATCTTTCCTACTGATAAATATTAATATACATATTTCCTACTGATAAAAAATTTTAAAGGAACACTCAAATTTAAGACATTCTTTTCAAATCTTTTTTAAAAAAAAATTAGGTTTTCCTCCACCAAAAAGGATCATGAACAACACTTTAAAAGAATGTTTTATTATATCTCCTGGATTTTGCCTTCAAAGCCACATTGCAAATTTAAAAAGATTTTCAAAAATTTTGAAAACTTCTAGAAAGACTTCCCAATGCACTTCAGTACATATTTACTTAAAATACATTTTTAAAACAGACATTTGTAGAATACTTTTTCAATCCCTATAATGTAAGTGACTGCTCATAGAGATAGAATTTGCACAAATTCAAACTTATACTTGAGAACTTGAATGATAAAACTAAAAGATGTAATATCAAGCATATTAATATTCATGCACAACTAAAGTATTAAAGTCTCAATTAAAAGACTCATTTTCTGATCAATGTTAACTCTGTTTCTAATTCATGAAAAAATACTATAGAGCTATTTCCATATTTAACATACCACCGTCAATCATCAGTTTTTTTTAATGCCATTACACAAAAGAAGTCACCCTAAGTGTTTTAGATATTCAAAAATTCAAACAAATACAACATACGTTAAAGATTAAAGTTAATTCTTTTGCAATTTCTTGGTTATACCTTTGTACTTTCACATTGGTAATTAGATTACGAGAAAACACTTTAAATAAACGTAAACTTTAGGAAAACAAAACAATGATGAAATGTGGGCATGCCAACATCTTTAAATGTAATCAAGCTTGAGGTTTTTAATCCTGTGGGTTTCTGCATGTTGCTTTTTGGGGGTTCACCCGCCCCCATTTTGCCACAAGGTAGGCTCATGAATGAAATCCCACTTTAATATCCTATTTTCTCTCACTTACATGTATGCTGGAGAAAGTGGAGTTGACCTGGATGTTTTAAGCACAGGAACTGGGAATTTCCAGATAGCAGGAGAGCTCGTTTTCCATTTCAATGGCATGTTGTCACCACGGTACTACAATAACAGTAAAGAGCGTTTCCATAACAGACTACCAACTAGGACTTCCATTCCACACTGTACTGACAGCAGTGGCTGCCGCGGAGAACAAGCAAAGGATTCAGCCAGTGCCCTTAAACCGATGCTTCCAATCTGTAAAATAGGGCTGCAAGGAACCTCCTTAAATCCTTCTGTCCCCTAAAGCAATATGATGATTCTATCATTCCAACTCAACAATAGTGCCAGAAAAGCATTGACTGCAGTATGATTTTTTAAGACTGCACTGTGCATACCATACAATGCGGCTTTATTTAATAAAAGCAGCTAGGATTTTTTTTAAGCTTGCAATACCATTGTTCTACCTTAACAGGGATACTGCAGCACTGTACTACATTCTGCACCTATTAGCCTGATTTCTGACCAATAGTAGCAAGAAAAAACATAGATAGGTTTCATATGAAAATGAAACAACATACCTACTCAGAATACACTTGTCATCCTCTGAACAATCTTCTTTTGAGCTGCAACAATACAAATGGGATATAAACCTCAGCATAGCCTTAGGCCACCGCTAATAGAGATCAGTGACTAAATTCAGCAGCCTGCTTTCCTCCTGTGCAAGCTCTGGCCACACAATACAAGAATGCCATTATGGGAAAAGCCCGTTTCAAAAATTCCAGTCCCTCTGTTTTCCAGCTAGAAGAAGGCAAAATGTAAGAACAAATATAAACTGCTGCAGAACTCTGCACGCTCTTCTAGTAGCTTCTGATTCAAGTTGCTCTCCTTTCCCTATTATTTCCAAGCTGGGATGAGCAAAATCTCATACATTTACAACATGCTGTGGTTACACAAATATCACTCTGTCTTCTGCAGCAGAGAAGTACAGAGTAGCATGCTCTTAATAGCAGTCCTCAGAGGGACGCTATCAACAATCTAATTCAATGCTGCCCTCCCCTTCTCTCCCTTTTCCCCTCTTGTTCACCCCCACTTACTCCTCCCCTCCCTCCCCCACAAACAGCTCACAAATTGCCTAGAGGAAAGACCTAGGCTGCTAGCCAAGCAGGTGTCCAGCAGGGACCACTCCAAAGCTTAGCAGGGGGTCCGGTAACCTTTAGGGATTAGCAATTGTCAAGGAGCTTCAAAAATTGAAGCTGCTGTCAAAGGCAGCTTGAGGTATTTCATGAAAGCAAATAAAGGGTTCATCTACATTGTTTCAAAATACTGCCAGAAAATGGTATTGTAAATGCCCAGAAAGTGACTTTTAAGCTTCTGTTTAAAGCACCAAAACAAATTCACGAATTTTCTACACAATTCTAAAAAGTGAAAATAGGTTAAATGAGTACTATGCTGAACTCTTTATTTACAGGCTAAAGAATTTTACCCCTGATATAGGCAATTCACAATCATAGTACCCTTCAGCTTCTACCTAAAAATAGAATTATCCATTTCCATCAATGCAAGCTTAGTAAAGGCAGACCACGATTGACATGAAAGCCACTACCTATTTTTAAAAAATCACTGCAGTGACAAAGAACTCATATTTACTTTCAAGTCTGTATCCAAACAATAAACTCATGCTTCCAATTTAAATAGTTGACTTTCAGATAATCTTTCCAAATTATTCCTAGTTTTTAAAGATTGATATTTAGTCTCCTAAGAGGCATTTTCATCTATATTTTAGAAGCACAGATGAATGTTTCCACAGTAAGGAACTATTTTCAAAAATTCCAGAATACCAAATTTAATATATGAGAAACACAGCGTGAAATCAGCTAAGGTAATCACAAATACCTTCCTTTTAAGATACAGATCAATATCAAGGCAAGAAGACAAACTACTATTTTCCTGTGAAGCACAGAACATATGTACATGCAGTATTTACATATATATATATACATACATACATGCATGGAAAGAGAAAGCTTATTTTGAAAGATTGACAAGTAAATGTGGACTCTGTAAATATTAAAATATGTCAACCATCATTGCCTCATACACAATTTTTGTTCAACCTAGCATACAAAGGAAACAGCCCCCCAAAACCAAGTCAAGCAATTTAAAGTTTTAAATTATGTACTCCTTTTAATACTCACACACAAAACGGACTCATAGAAATCGTCAAAGGAATCAGAGAAAGGAATATTTATCAATGCATTAGTAGCCAAAATATAGTTTAAAGTTTGTTTAAACCTGCCACTAATATGCATAAACTATAGTCAATATTTTACATTAGAAGGCTTTCTGTAATAATCATTAGTGCTTATAAAGCAAAAATGCCCCAGGTATAATCAGCAGGGGCAACTTATTTGAAACCCAAAGAAGGAGAAATACACACACAAATGTACACACACACACACACACACACACACACACAGCCACACACAGGTATGAACATATCAAGTTTGAAATGTCTCATTCCACAGTAAGTTTCAAATAAATTTTCAAAACCTGAAGCATTTGAAAACATTTAAAAATATAAAACATAAAACAGGTATATATCATGTAGTAGGGAGGTGATGTTTTAGAAAGGAGATTCAATCATTTTCCAGCTTATGAAAATTTTACAAAGCAGTAATTGCAAATGTTACTTCACCTTCTGATAATAAAGATCCAAAAACCTGTGTAAAAACATGGCAGTGAAGTGTTTCCAGCAGTTTATCTGTTCATAAAGACTTCTCAAATATTGGTGAGTAGAAAACAGGCAAGTTAAGGTAGAGTTTTTCAAATTCTCAAAAAAGGGAACCACCACAAACAAGTGAAGACCACTTTACTGTAAACATTCAAGTTACTGTTCTTCTATAAACACTCAACTGATTCAAAAAACCAACATATTTTTTGTCTAATTTCATTAGGCTCCAAAGAAGCCATCTAATACTATGAGTCTTCTATGTCAATTTGCAGTCTAGATTCCTTGCAGACTTAATATTCAATATTTGTTTTTGTGGTACTCCAATAAATTGAATATTTGTTCAGAGTGAAAAGAAAGTAAGACTGCCTCCCTACACCCAATCCTCAGCACTCAAAACACCTAAAAACCCTAAAAGCATTATGTTTTATGGTGGAGACGTATATATATATATATACTCAGTTCTCACTTTTCCCTTAATAAATTAAGTCACTTATAATTACCTTTCATGAGCTGACAACTATTATGCCAAAGTGCTTAAAAATAATTCCTTTAATCAGAAATACAGTTCATGAACAATACTTTACATTATTAATTCACTTAACAACACTATTCCTCGCATATCATTTAGAGATAAACTTCAGCCAGGTAAAATAATCTCAATTACAAATCAGCAGCATCCAAACAAATCAATTATTACCACCCTGGTGGAGAATCCAGTCATAACTATGGAGTATAATTATAATTCCCATTACATTCTATAACTAAAAATGTGTTCACCTATGGAATGAACAAAAATGATTAAGCATATATTTTAAGTATAATTTTATGCAGGCTCAGTGTCCTACTACTTTAATATTTAGAATAGTAAATGTCAAAAAGCCCTTGGTCACATCATAGGAAACACTTATTTTGATCACATAACACTTGATTTTATTATATACAATTGCATAAAACAGGATAGAAAGACAACACACATAAAAGCTCTTCAACGCATTTTATGAATATTACCTAATCAGTTAAAAAATACCTATGAAAAGCATATTTCAGAGATGTAATAAAGGACAATGATGGGTCTTGGCCAAATCTACAAAAAGAGCCAAATCTTATAACACAGAATTCCCTGGCTCCCAATGTAAAAGGAGAAGATTTTTAGAAATTTAGGACTCTAAGAATTCATTTTTCTCAGTACACTCATTGTATAAATGAAAACACTGAAACCCAGAGAAGTTAACTTGCCCAATGTTATATCACAAGCTAGAAGCAAAAGAGGAACTAGAAACCAGATTTCGATCTCCTAGAATTCTTATATAATCCCTACTGTTCTTCCCAATGAAACCATTCCACAAGATGCATGTTTCTATTTGAAGTGAACCACATTCTATAAATGTCTCAATGTATTCTAAAGAAATGAGACTACAAAGAGAGAGCAACTCCTCCAATTATACGTTCACTGAAAAACAGAAGTGGGAGAAAAATCAAAAAAGAAAAGCTGTGCGTGAAGAGCCACTTCCAAATCTAAATTCCAGAAGATGTTTAAGTATGTTCAGGAAGAAAATATAACTTAAGCAGTCATGGTATGAGAGAAAAGGAAAATATATTGCCAATAGCCTGATATTTTTTCTCATTGTAAATGTTCCTAAATAACTTTGTAGTAAAATTTAATTTGATGACTGACTGCTACAATTTGTCACCAGTACCACCTCACCAAATAAAATAAACTAATGTATCATGTTTCTAATCTCTTGGTCCATTTTTTTCCTGATGTGCCCTAAGAAATTTTACCTACTTTTTCATACAAGTTTTGGTTAATCTTGTGGTAGGTACAGCTAAAGAGTAATAGCCTTAGCCAGAGTTTGTATGAACAGGCACTGTGCAATCTTTTCAGTTCTGAAATGTCTCTTCAGACTAATCTAAAATATCAATGTTATTCACAACGCTCAGACAAGACTGCAGATCATGCCAAATTTTGTACTTTGTTTATGTTCCACCAATCAGTAAAAGTACTTGGATAGCAACCAAATAGGAGTGTTAAACCCTTTAAAACACATGAAAAATTCTGGACAGCAGAGAAAAATTCTTAATATATTAAGGGTTCCTTCTTAAAGGAAATAAAATTGTTCACATTCATGGCTATGTACACTTATATACTTATGTGCATGTGTGTTTGTATCTTTTATACACATGTGTAACTATATATATTTGTGCATGTGTGTGTCTCCTTTATTTGTTTCAGGAAATTATCAGAGACATTAAAACTTTCTTACTAGATACTCAGATATGTAGCCTTGCCACAATAAAAAATGGAAAATCCCAGATGTTTCTTGAAGACAACTACACTGGAAAGTATTACGTTGGAAATTTCCTTAACAGAACTGTGTGAAACCTAGTAGGCCAACAAAGAATATGCAAAGACATCCCCTTTTGTAGCATAACTATGTCTTGGATTTATGTTAAAAGATATCAAGCAATATAAATGAGTCAAAATCATCAAACAATACAAACAATGTTATGCAGGCACACATTCATGTATATGCATAGAGAATTTCTCACACCATGATGGTGTAAGCAATGTAAAGGGCAGTATTCTTACTATCTGTAACATTTCCATAGGTTAAGAAGAATACCATGTTGGACAGAGAGAAAAGAGCAATAAGAGGAGCTGGCATGCTGAAAAGGCAGAAACATTCGGTAATGGGTCCAAAGGAAAAGACAATAGCGGTGAGGAAAGTAATGACTGGCTGGAATGGGAAAGGAAAGTCAGAGTGGTAGTAATTGCTGATGTTTACATAACACTTTTTATAGTTGGGGGTCAGATGAAAGAGGTTATGGGGCTAAGATAGGAGCTGGGGTGGGTGAGCAAAAATACAGAGAGACTGAGAAGGGAACAAAGTTCCAGTTGTTGCAGGCCCAATGATCCACAGATTCTGACTACCTTCACTCTTTCATGACAGCTGAAAAAAAGGAATAACACTGAATGGGAAATTCAGAAGTTCTTGCCCTTCCTTCTTTATTTTGTTTTCTGGCACTATCTTTACTCTTTATGTTTTTCTTTTTTTTTTTTTTTTTTTTTTTCTGCTCTTGTATGCTTCAAAGTGTTCCCATCTGTTTTTAAAAAAAATGTTTTAAATTCCAAACCAGGATGTTTGTGTATGTTTGGGATTGTGATAGTGGAAATCGATGGTTTTTATTTTATTTTATTTTATTTATTTATTTTTGAGACAGAGTCTCATTCTGTTTCCCAGGCTGAAGTGCAGTGGCACCATCTTGGCTCACTGAAACTTCTGCCTTCCATGTTCAAGCAATT